AGACCACGCAAATATGATATTATGATTTAAATCTCATTTATATATCAAAAATAAAGTCTATGTTTTGCATTATATTTTTTCATTAAATATTAATTTGAAACTTATATAATAAAGTAAAAAAAAAATTTCTTCATAAGGACAAAATATGATATTTGTCATTCTATTATTTGCTGAAGGTTATTTTAGGCCCAGTTATAAAAATTAGTGATTTCATTTGGATTTTTGTTGACTTTTCCGAATGATATGAGTTTAAATTAATACTAAATTATGATTCGTGCTTTGAAGCGCGAAATATTTAATAATGAAAAATTGCACTAATAACTAACAAATATTTTGTTACTTTGAAAGAATGTTTGTATTTAAAATATTTTGCATATAAATATTTTTAAATCCGACTCGAATCCGCGGTTTAGCTCCTGTGATCCAATAATTCGATCTAGATTTTTAAAATATCCATATTTAAAAAATGACTAAAACCCGAGACTAACCGATTGAACCGATAAATACCCTATATCTAATATTTAAACCTAGAAAATAAGTTCTGTTTATTTTTGTTGTTTTATAAATTATATAATTTTTTTTAATTAAGTTATTTAGTTTATCTAAATAACTTAAAAAAGAGCTGTTAGAAATTATTAAAAATAAGAGCTAATATTTTGTATTGCTTGGACACACTTATAATGTTATTTGGAAAAATTGATTGTAGTATAAATAAATGAGTATGTTTTCTGGAAATATGGATAGTAGTATAAAGAAAGAAATATTAGTGTCTTAGTGTAAATTTAAACTATAAAGTAGAAATGTGTATTTAATTTAAAAACTTAAAAAATAAATGTTATGTCCAACACAATGTTTCTGTTTTAATAAGATAGATTATTAGTTCAATAAAATTAAACAAAAATTAACTTTCTCACCTTCAGCATCTTCTTCACGATTGATGCTAACTAAAATATTTAGGTTTCATCTCCATCGTCTTTTTCGATCTCTGATAGTCTATTCTTCTTTCTTTTCTTCACTTAATCAGTTTATGTTTGATTTGTCGCCGTATGTTCATCTTCTACCGATTTCATCTCCGATGGAATCAACGGTGGAAGTCTTAGCTCTGGATCTGTTATCAAGGCGGTAGTCTCAGTTGAAGATAAAGAGGAAGCATGTGAACATACTTATTAGTTCAGGGTGCTTCGTAAAGTGTTTTTAATTTTTTTATAGATTTTTCATGTTTACCGCATTAGTGTATCTATCTGCCGAAAGTGAGCTTCCTGTTGAGATCATTTCCCTTGAATCATTGTTTGTTTTTTTTGTTTTTTTCAATGTCTGGAGCATATCCTAACGCTATGATTATTATGGGTATGTGAAAATGTAGATTTTCTTATTGAAATTTGAGATATAAAAATTATCCTTATTTGGTTCTACGAATCAAATAGTGAGTATCGATGATACTTTAATGTATAATTTGTGTCTCTTATCTGTGAAATGTTGAAAGTGAATCTTTGTTTAGTTAATGAGTCAATCATTCTTTCCTCTGTTAATATAACTTTTTACTATAAAGTTTGAGATTTGCTATTTTCTTTCTATGAGTTTTAAATCTTATGTGTTTGTTGGTGTTTGTTTAAATCTCTGGACTTTTTGGAGATGTAGCAACTACACAAAGACAAGTCTCTCTGAGAATGGGTTTACTCGCTGGCTTTACCTTTATGTTTCTCACTGTTATTTAGGCAAGTTGCACCGTTATTGGTAAGTATGACATTCATTATACTATTGTTGTAAACAAGCAAGACACTAAAAACTTTCATATAAAGTAAGGAGAATGTATTTATGTCTTATGGATTGGATTCTTCATTTTGTCTCTGGCTTATTTAACTGTGATTGTTGTTGCCTCAGTATCTGTAGATTATGGGGTTAGTGTTGACGTTTGGACCTGCTATGTTGCGAGAATAATGGCTATACCGGTTTTTCCATTTGACATTGTCGAGCTTCCACAAGTGTTGAACTCAACTTCTGGAAGACATGTGGCCATGTTAGTTGCATTAATCATTCAGCTCTAATGTAAAATCTCCACACTTATAAATAAGTGACTTCTATTATGTGCAGTTCATCACACTCTTCTTCTAAATCATTGCAACAAACCCATCAATCTGGAACGGTGAACTATTCTCACATGCTCGCCAATTGCAGGACATTGTAGCACAACCGTCGAAATCTGGTTGCTGAAAATTTGGGATGACCTTACTTAGATTATTCATGTATCGTATTTGTAATATGAGATTCTTTTTTTGTAAACTATGTATCTATAATCTTTTTTAAGTATCTATAATCTATTAGCTTAACTTATATATATATATATATATATATATATATATATATATGCTAGATAATCGAATTTCAAATATCTTTAACATATACAACTAATGTACTAGGTAAAAAAACAAACCTTGCTACATACTATTCCTGTAACATCCCAAGTTGTGATATATGGAAAGACTTAAGAGGATTTATTTTGTTATCTATGTCACGAAAGTGCACTTACCTTTTCGGGAGCACATCCAAAGTTTAGCGTGCTTGAGCTGGAGTAGTCAAAGGATAGGTGACCTATCGGGAAGTGATTTGCGATACCGTGTAAGTGAGACCAAAACACAGGGAAATGTCATGTGGTGGTTGCAAGGTCAGTAAACACGACTATAGAGCCTTGGAAAATTAACGGCCCGGCCATTCGAACGGGATGGAGCCCATGGGCTGAGAGAGCGGGTGTGGGTGGCCCATTAGCCATGGACGGTCGGTGCGTTACAAGTGGTATCAGAGGTAGGTTAGCCATCCCAGTTCTAATCTGAAAGGCATCTTGAGACCTGTCGTGGGGCGCAACGAGGACGTTGCGTTCTTTGAGGAGGGTGAATTATAACATCCCGAGTTGTGATATATGGAAAGACTTAAGAGGATTGATTTAGCTACCTATGTTACCAAAGTGCACTTACCTTTTCGTGAACACATCCAGAGAGAACTCCAGAGTTAAGCGTGGTTGAGATGGAGTAGTCAAAGGATGGGTGACTTATCGGGAAGTGATTTGCGATACCGTGTAAATGAGGCCAAAACACGGGGAAATGTCATGTGGTGGTTGCAGGGTCAGTAAACATGACTCTAGAGAAATTAACGGACCGGCCGTTCGAACAGGATGGAGCCCACAGGTCGAGAGAACAGGTGTGGGTGGCCCATTAGCCGTGGGCGATCGGGGCGTTACAATCAATTCTTGAAATTATTAAAATTTAAAAAGTAGAATGCTAAAAGTCATCATAAGTTTGAAATTATGAAATCTACCACATCTTTCAAGCTCTTATGAAATCCCTACATCTTTATATTTGGACTAATTATATTAACACTACATTAAATTGTCAGTAAATATTTTTATAATAAACATTTCTTTAACACAAATCAATTATAATTTTATAATTATAAATACATTTCCGTATACATTTTATTAAATAAAAAACTAATAAATTTAGTTATATTTATATATTTATATTTTTAATATTTTAAAATTATAGAAGATAAATCAATAATAAATATCATACCATCTTCCTATATAGCATCTCATATAAATATATAATTTTAATAATTTTGTTATTTAAATATATATAAATATTTTTAAAGAACTATAAATGGTATTAATAATCTCTTGAAATTTACATGTGTGGGGAATTTGAAGTACAGGAAGTTACATCATCTACTAGGAAATACAACATATTTATAAAAAATAAAACATAATTGATAAATTTGATTATATTAATATAATTATAACATATCTATTATATTAAAAGAGAAGTCACAACTTCTCTTCATGTGTGATTTTTTTTTAAAAATGGACCATTCCTTAGAAAAGTTTTAACCTTATCTTTTGTATTTGTATAATAAAATCTTAACAACCATATTTAATTTTCATTTTCATTCTCTTAATACATAAGAACATCTTAAAATTAACAATACATTTATATAAACATTTAAAAATATGTTCAACGTTAAAAATATATATTCATAAAATAAATAACATATGTATTCCAGAGATTCGCGACAATAACCTGTTTGATTTTCTCAAAACCAAATCACCATGAAATACAAAAAAAGAATTCAAATGCAAACAATAATCTGTTCAAGTTTCAAATTTAACTATTACGAGTAAACTTTACTCAATTAATAATAAATGTTTGATGCATTAACTAAAATCCACATACGAAAGCGTACAATGTTACCACTACATTACCATTCTCAATAAATCATTTCATTAAATCACACATAAATCAACAGAAACGTTTTCTGCCGTTTACATGGATAAAAAAGACTAGCGACCTCCAATACAATCTAACAATTTATTCCAAAACCAATCTTTCAAAATAAATGTAGCATCGAAGACCTCCTTAAAGAAATCCTAGGAGATATCATCCCCGGGTTAACTAATCTGTAATTTTATGCGATCATCACCAATCTTTGACAAATCGACTCAAAAGTCAAAACAACAATATCTACAAAACTATGACTTTTTAAGCCATACTGTTTATATTCTTTGCCACAAAATAATACATTATCATTTTCATTTACAAATATTATTTCCATCAAAGTATACGCCAGACAAAATTTAAATTTTATTATAAGTACAAAACAACTACATTTAATTAAACAATTTATTACAACTACAAAAAGTTCAAATACAATTCAAAAAGACGATTTTCATTTTTAGCCAATTATCCAATAAATTAAATTTGCCACAAGTAAACAACTACAAAATTAATTATAAACTAATTTTTACTATAGATTAGCATATTAACGTTTACATTTAACAAAATAGATTCTTAATATAAACATAAAAGAAATACATCCCATATCGACTACTACTTTTTTCCATCAACCTGCGATACCATTAATCAAAGAAAGTAAAATTTTGAGACATTGTGCTACAAAAGAAATAGCACAGAACAATGTTCATTGAGAAAAAAACTCTTTCTCGACTCTTTATTAAATCAAATAAAATAAAGTATGGCTTTACAAAAACACATACCAGCAAACCAAACAGAGATTGAGATTAAGCAACGCATAGAGGCCTAATCAAATTTTAGGAAATGAAATTGAAACAGAAGCAAAAGAACAACAGACACGTGGATCAAGCAAAAACCACAAATTAGGAATATAAAAGATATACTCTGTCTTGGAAACACAAAGTGTCGGCAATGACAGTGATTGATCAGAGAATGTTGCAACCACCTTGACCCCTCGCCATTTGTTCTTCCATTTCCCTACGAGTTTCTTCGCGCATCCTACTTAACGCTTCCATCATTTCCGCTTGATGTCTCTTCTCCTCCTTTTCATGCCTATCTTCCGCCAACTTCTCTCTTTGCTCAGCGAGCTTCTCCTGAGCTTCCGTAACCATTCTAATAGTATTTGCCATCTGAGCAAAAGAGTAAGATCTCGTTAATGTTCACATCAACACCACAGATGTATATCAACGAAGAAAATGAGTTCATACCATCTCTGACATTGCCTTGAGGTTCTGTGCATTCATGAGCTCTAACTCCTTAGTCAGTTCTTCGAACTTTTCATCTGAATGGTTCTGTTTTTCAAGCTCCTCTTGTTCTTTCATGTGTCTTTCGGTCTCTTTCTGATGAGCAATACCATTTGAGTTTGGCAGTTGAACAAGCTTCAGATTGAATTCAAAGAAAAAAAAAAAAAAGAAGTGGAAAGCTATTTAAACCTTTATCTCTAGGTACATGGCCTCCGTATACGGTTTGTTATTCGTATGCTTTCTGACCATATCAATAAGATGGAGAAGCTCTTGGACTTGATTTTTCTTTTTATCATCTTCCTTGGTTTTGTTATTGAACACAACAAGTCTTTGCTCACACGCTTCAAGAAGTCTCTGAAATCACAAAAAAAAAATGCAATTAAAAAATCCTAAGCTGAAACATCATCATCACAAAAATGCAATTAATAATTCAACTAAGTTCGTAAATGTCATCAAAGTACCGACCTTCAGGAAGTCGGGGCAACCTTCCAAATAGTCCTCAATTTTCTCATCATCATCTTCTAATAAATCCCCGCCGGTGAAAACAACGATAAGATAATCAACAATTTTATTCCCAAAAAGGACCTCCAAGGTACTAAGTACCACCTCTTCCTCTTTTGTCATTCTATTCCTCACCGTTAAGACTAAGAGTACAGCATGCAGACCACCTGTCGCTTTATGTAGGCAGTTAACAATTTCTTTACTTATGTAGTCAGCCGACTCCGTCAGATCAAGTAGACCTGCTCTCCAAATTTTGACTACTATTTACATACCGTTCAACGTTATAAAATCATATATACAACGCCAACGTACCTGGAGTGTCTATCACGTTGACTTTCGGGCCTTCTGGTGTCTCAACTATGAATGACTCGCATGTCCTTGTAACTCCTGCGGCTTTTGCTTTGGAATCGAACACACGGTTTCCGACGATGCTGTTCCCGGTGGCGCTTTTCCCGTTCCCTGTACGCCCAAACATGACAATGTTTTCAATCCCTTGTTCTGCATTCACTGCCAAATTACGCTTCTGTTCATTTGCCATTTGTGCAAATCTCTGTGGCCCTTTTCTGCCATTAAAAGTACATAATTAGCTAATCCGATCAAGCTAACAACGTTGAAAAAGCTTAGTTTTATCTTTGATAAAATGTTTAACAAAAGGGAGTTATCAAAACTCAGGGAAAAGGGGTAGATTGGAAATAATAGGCGTGCAATTTTGTCAGCATCATATGAGATTCAGCTGCAGCCTGCAGGTATGTTATCCTGATACTAACGGATCTACTTACATATAATTTTTTATTTAATATTACAAGGGACAGCTTACACAGCTTCTTAACTTGAGTACGGAAATTAGTAAATCCTATAAACTGGTACAAAGTGAGAAAAAAAGAAAGATAAAAAGACAGAAACTGTAAGAAAAGGACGAACTTGATTTATACGTGTGGAAAGTCTTTAAGCTTTTAGAAAATGCTACAGATGCAGTTAATCTACCAAGCTAGTTTCAAGTTTATATAGAACTTCTGAAAAAAGCTTTTGATCAAAATATAAATATAAAAGTTTGCCTCCCCAACAATTTTATATCCCAACATGACGAGCATTAATTTTGACAATTTTTTAAAACTGTCAAACAAAACTAATTTCAAACAAAACTAATCTTTTAAGCCTCATCCTGTTATATGTAAAAATCAATCAATACCGTTAAAAATGGATCATTTCCTTTAATAAAATTTTTACGTTTTTAAAAATTACTTATAGTGATATGAACAAATTTTTATTTTTATTAATGACAATATAGTCTTTTGATTTTTGGGCCTAAAAAACTATATATTTGTAAAACAATATCTATCTAATGGATTGCTTAATGGACTAATCTCTTTCAAAATACTTTTGAATATTCTTGCAAAAATAATATCCATCAACTTTAAAACGCAATTTTTTTGCGAGTTAATAGAATTTCATAACGAATTTTCTTAAAACTAAAGCGGGTTACATATAAAGTCATTAGTTTTATCGGTTCAACTACGAGTCCAGATTATGTTTCATAACACTAAATATAACGCTTTTATGTATAATATGTAAATGTTGATACATAATAAAAAATACAAATTTATATCATATAGATTTGGTTTATTTCAAAAATATCCCCGCTTTGCACCAGTAGCCGAGTCTCAGGTTTTAGTCGGAATTTTGGAGGTTTTATAGAATTTTTAAATAATGAGTTTAAAAAAAATAAACCGGGTTACATATAAAGTCATCGGTTTTGTTGGTTTAACAACGCGTCTAGGTCGTGTTTCATGACACTGAATATAATGTTTTATGTGTAACATGTAACTGTTGATACTATAATCAAAAATACAAATTTATATCATATAGATTTGGTTTGTTTCAAAAACATTCCCGCACTTTGAATCAGTAGCCGAGTCTCAGGTTTTAGCGGAAATTTTGGAGATTTTATAGATTTTTAAAATAATGAGTTTAAAAAAAAACGGATTACATATAAAGGCATCAGTTTTGTCGGTTTAACAACGGATCTGGGTCATGTTTCATAACGCTGAATATAATACTTCATATGTAATATTTAAATGTCACATTTGAATGTAATTACATATTCAAACATGTAAATTTATATCATATAAATTTGATTTGCTTCGAAAATAATCTTGCGCTTTGAAAGCACATATCAAATCTAGTTCATCTTTTCAGTCACACATCTAAAATGAACTCTCGAATTCAACGTGCTTAAACTCTCGTATTGAAAGATTATATGATTTATCGACAAATAATTATCAATATGTATGAATAAGACCAAAAAAGTGAAAAATCACGTGGTAGTTGAAAGATCAATAACAAAAAGTAACCCGTAGTTAAACCGATAAAATTGATGATTTTATATGTAAGCTGAATGTTAGAAACTATTTGTAAAGATTTAACTACAGGTCCATACCGAATTACATATAAAATCATGTGGTAATTGAAACATCAATAACAAAATATGATTAATAAAATACTTATTAAAGTTAAATTTTTTTAATACCACTATCTTTGTTTCCAAACATACTCAATTTATCTATGTTTCGTTTATTTATACTTCAATATTAATAATGTAGATGTGCTGTATATTTAAATTGTATTGAAAGGTATATTTAATGCAACTTGGAAAACTATTCGTGTTCGGAAAAACAAAAGTTGTATTGTATAAAAGACGTTTAAAACATATTGCGTGAAGTACAATGCAACATGTAATATATAATTTGTCAGAATTTAACAGTCTTTATTTAAAAAAAAAATATATACTTTGTTAAAGACTTCACACAAATACAACTTAAACAAAGACTTTGTTAAAAAAGTCTTTGTTTAAGTTGTATTTGTGTGAAGTCTTTGTTTAAATTCTATTATCTTTCTGTTCACAACTTAAATAATGTCTTTGTTTATATTGTATTTGTGAAGTATTTGATTAAGTTCTATTTTTTGACTCTTCGTTGTATGGGGTATATGATAAATTTTATTCAGATCAATTGATTATAATCTTTGATTTTTTTTTATCTTAAGCATAAATCATAATATCTTATATAAACAACATGCCGAATCAATACAGCAAAAACTGCAGCAATTTGTGCATCAAAGAATCTATTTTATTTTCTGTGGAGTTTCTAAGTATCATGACAAAACACGAAATTGATTAAAAAGATTGAATCTATTCTGTTTGGTATCAGTTTAACCATAGAAACTGATCTATATCCGCATCTAAATCTGAAAATTGTGTTTGTAAACTAAGCGAGCTTTGTTGCTTATATTTTTGTTTCAATGACTCGAGTGTAACATTAATGATCCAAGTATTGTTACTCTATCTGTAAATTTGATTCATACCATACAGAAATATTTTTGGGAAAATTGCCAAATATGACTCAAAACTTGATTTGAAATGCAAAAGTAAACCCAAACTTGAATCAAATGCAAAAGTAACTTAAAAAACTATTGAAATTACAACCAGCTCCTTGTGAATAAACAAAAAAAGGGTTTTTTTTTTTAC